TTTATTAAATAATTTCAATTAAATTTGCTTTTAAAATAATTAAAAATATAAAATTATATCAATAAATTTAAGCACGTTGAATTGAAAAATTTTTGTAATTCAATTATAAAATAATAATTTAATATTTGAATAAATAAAAATTAATTCAAAATAAAAACATTATTAAATAAAATTAATAATAACTAAGTTTTGTTTGTTCCAACTAAAATAAATCTGAAAAATAGAAATAAAAAAATAAATCCTAAATGGAAATGAAACTAATATCATTTTGACCCTTGCATCACAAAAGCTGCAATCTGTTGGAGTTGTGATTCAGATAGTTTAATTCCAGAAACATTTTCGTTTTCGCTTCCTGCATTCTTGTATTCATTAACTTGATTCTGCAAATCTTCAACCAAATTGTGTAATTGGTTAATTAAATCAGCTTGCAGTTTTATAGTATCACTCAAATTTGAAATCCTCTTCTCCAAATCATCAGCACGTTTTGTCGCCTGTTCTTCACGTACTTTAATTAATTAACTTATGGTCTAATTTTTTAGCTTGTACATTTTTGGAAAAATGGATACAAGGAAGGATACTCAGTATGGTCGGCATATAAAATGCTATCATCAAAACCAAGGGAAGCAGAAGCTACTATTTACACAACAATTTGGAATAAGCACGTCCCATTTAAAGTGACAGCCTTTGTATGGAGAGCACTACAAGATAGAATACCCACAAAGGAAAATTTGTTGAGGAAAGGAGTTAAAATTCAGAATAGTGACTCCTCCTGTGCACAATGTGGACAAGTGCCTTGAGACCAAGGATCATTTATTATTTGAATGTGAAAAATAATGGCTGATTTGGACTTCATGCTAAAATTGGTGGGGCATACAGGTGGTATCACAAAGAGCAGGTTGGAAACATATGTCACAACATTTTGGCTTAATATCTAGCAAATGCTTACAAAAGGTGTGGGCAGTGGTCTGGTTTTGCATTGTATGGTCCTTATGGTTATGGAAAAATGGCCAAATCTTTCAGAATGAGGCAACTACAATGGAAAAGGTAATAGAACTTGTCAAATACCGATCTATTTTTTGGATTAAAGCTAGTATCTATTCTGATCTTGATTGGAATTCATGGCTAAAATCACCAATGGAAGCATGTAGGATGAGGAATTAATCCTTGATTTGACTTCTTATTTCTCTATTTTTTTGGTATAAATAAATGAATTTATAAGCTAATAGGGGAGAAACTTTCAATGTAAATGGGTTTAGGGTATCCCTTGTACTCCTATTAATAAAAATTCTTTTTGTTGATAAAAAGAAAAATTAACTTGTACATTGCAAATATTTTTATTTTATATCTATATTATGCGATTTCTTTTGTAATTATTTTTTTGATAAAGTTATTTTAAAGAAATGTAATTTGTATTTATAATTAGATTAGAAAACAAAAGAATCAAAGTTTTTTGTATTATATATTAGAAAATATGTTTTTGAATCCATTTCGCACCAAAATTAAATATGTTTTTGCCTTAACATAATTTTGAATTTTTACAAGTCAAATCGTGTTTCTTGTGTAGCTTAGTTTTAAAAAAGAGGATCCATATATTATAAATTAGATTTTTAAAACTCTTTCAAATTGTTAAAGTTGATACTATTTTAATTTTATAATATAAATCTTATCATTTTCATTTTATCTTTTTTTTCCCAAATTTTTGGTGGTTCACCTTAGGGAATGTAACATTTTTAATTATAAAAATTCTTCTTAATTTATTGAGATTTAAAATTTTAATATTTTTTTAATAAATTACAATTATTTACATGTATTAATTGAAAAGAAAAATTTCGTAGAATTCGAACACGCTATGCATGGGAGATGAAAGACCTTAACTCAAAATTTATACCACTAAACCAAAGTGAGACTGTTCAAAATCTTAATACTTTATGTTATTAATGGTTGATATTATAATAAAACAATAATTATCATTTATATCTCGTTGCCTTTCGATCTTCAACTACGAATCATGATATAGCAATAATTATCATCTGCATCTTGTTGCTTTGTACTCCACAAAACTATTTTCTGAGTACCAAAAATGCCCTTACACGCAAGCGATTAAAGGTAGAACAGGACACCTGCCTCTAAGTGGTACCCTTCTTTTGGAGGTATATTTTATAAAGAGAATCTTGTGTTACAGTCCGAATTGTACCGGACTGTAACATCAGGACCATAAAAAAAAGGAGAGGATAGGACCCAATATCAGGGTGCCTATTGCTTTTTTATGGTTATAATTAATGTTACAGTCTAGATTGTAACACACTTTTTTGTTTTATAAATTTTACTAGCATATTCTTTTTTCAAAATATTCATTTTGTTTATCTGAAAAAATAAATCATTTTG